TACGAAGCCACTAATCACGTACGCAAGGAAAGGAAAGTAAGAGAAATTTTGGGGGAAAAGTTTAAATATATCTTGGGGAGTATTTATTAAGGTTAATTTGCTAGGGGTAGCTTTATGTTTTGTTTTCCTATAATTTTTACCTTTGTAGTATTCTTCCTAGTTGCGTCATTGTGGAGAGACAATCTACATCTCAAATTGTAGATCAACCTTGTATCTTGTTGGTTTACTTGGAAATCAATAAAATTAGCAATGAATTGAATTTTCTTCATTGAATTTTCCCACTTATTTGTTATTTATTTGCTGATTTTAGTTTCAGTGCATATTGAAATTCAAATTGAATTTGAATTAGGCAATTTACATGGATAATAGGTCAATTTTATGAAGAGTTGATGGAAGATAGAGAAGAAAGCTAACTAAGGGGGAAAAATAAGGGGTTAAAATGGAAGATAGAGAAGAAAGCTAACTAAGGGGGAAAAATAAGGGGTTAAAATGGAAGATAGAGAAGAAAGCTAACTAAGGGGGAAAAATAAGGGGTTAAAATGGTTTAATATCCCGTGAATGGTAAGCTATTGGACGCACAGTAATTCACTGTTAAATGGGTGAAACAGATGGATCAGGAAAAACAATGAAAAATACTTGTGGAAGCTGCTTTCATAGTGACCATGCATATAAATTGATTCTAAATCCTACCACCCCAATTTGATGAACTCTCCAAAGGATATCTCTTGGAACCTTATCGTAAGCTTTTTTCTAAATCAATAAAAATCAAATGTAGATTCTCCTTATTATATCTGAACTTCTCCATCAAACCTCTCAATAAATGAATAGCTTCCATGTAGACCTGCCCGACATAAATCGAAATTGATTATGAGAAATCGTTGTAATGCGTCAAATTTTAATAAGCTAACAAATTTAAAAATATTGGATAGAACAATTCTACTAAATAGTGAAATCTAAAGAACACAAAATAGCTCCAATACTCATCATAAAATAAAAATTCAAATTTTATGTCCATATCATACTGGTTGTAAATGATCAGTTTTACTTGAAAATTGAAATGGCACTACAAATTTCAGATACTTTTCTAACATCATGCCTCATACAGGGCAAGCAAAGAGCTGCCAACTGAAAATAATAAAAAGGTCCTATGTTTCTTAAGGCCTGTTCAGCTAAAAGATAAAACAAAAAATTTCTGAATATAACATAACATGACTAGCTAAACAACTTAACTTGAAGAATGCATAACAAAAGATTAAGTATATACCTAAGTCAATAATCACTCATCGACACAACAAAGTTCTCCAATACCACCTCAATGGGACAGGCCACTTAAAATTCATACTCTACATTTACTTAAGTAGCAAAGTCCATGGTATAGGCATGATGAAAGTTTATTGAGCAAATAGTAAGTGGATTTAAATGAAGGTTTATTATTATTTTTTATAAAAAACTGTGTTTCAGAAACGCAGAATTAATATTGAGTAAATCATGACAATATTGATAAATAAATATAAATAAAAATATGTTCAATAATAATTAATAAGGTTATTTGTTTAAATAATTAGCATTTCACATAGTTAAGAAAGGTCAATCAAAGGGTGGTCAAACTCAATAAAAGAAATGAACAGACAATATTATCAAAGTTTCAAAACTCGTCTATTTACAACAAGCCAAGCTTCTACATGAAAAGCTCTAACACTAGTTGATATCTTAAGTAAAACAACATATAAAAGGTTACTTCTATGGATTATGCCTCATATAAATATTGTGTAGTAAATGAGGATATGATCTGCAAGAGCATTTTAGAATCATAATCACATAAGAACTTTCCCAAATAGTATCCACAAACCCAATGTAACTAATGAGCTCCAACTTGATTATTGAGCTGCGTTAAAAACAATACAAGATTATCTATAGAAACATTTCAAAGCGCACAAGTGAACCTAGTACGATGCAGCAACGCTAAGCACACGTAATAAACAGTTTCATGCATCATTAATTAGTTACTTGTACCTCTGCAGAGGAATTATTCTGCGCATCCTCCCTGCCCGAAAGAAACCCACTTCATCCCTCGCCATTCCCTAACCATTCTATTTTTCTTAATTTAAAAATTGTTGGTCAAGTGCTCGCCTCAGAGATTATTTATCGATGAAGTCACGCTTCTGCTTTTCATGTCCAAAAATAAAATCACAGGATCATATCCAAGATCCCTTACAGAATTATTTTCTGTTCGGAAATGGTACAGAAGAATGCTGGTCTTAACAAATAAATAAATTAAGAAAATTAAGATGCAGCAATGTTATCATCAGTTTTTCTCATAAAGCTCAACTTTCCAAAAACAAAAAACAAAAAAAGAGAAAGAAGGAGAAGCGAGGAATACCCGATCGTTTGGGTCGTCTTCCTTGGTCTTCAACATGTCAAGGTCCTCCCGCTTGAAATTCTCGCCGAACTTGTCTAGGAATTCGAGCCTGCTCATTTTGATCTCCGAATCAAGGACGAGGAAACCGCGGTCTCTAAGCATCTCCAATGCCGTCTTCCAAACACGGAATAGCTTAGCCGTTTCCTCGCTTGACGACATCTCTGTCCTACAGTCAATCAATGGGTGAATAAGAGGCGATGAAGATGATTGATTGCGAGGAACAAAGCAGCAATCCTGAAAGAGACGAGCAAGAATAAAGTAGAAGAGGGAGAAGTACACCAAAGCTCGTCAAGGCTCGGCGGCAATGGAATACAGCTAGAAAATGTTGGCTAGCGACCTAGGGTTTTTTGAGAGGGTTGAGGTTGACGAAGGCTCGTCGGAAAAAGCTAGGATTTGAAATGTATTTACATATTTTTTTATAATATTTTAATATCTGACTCATACATCTAATACATAAACTTTGTTTTATAGGTACTCCATTCAAATTTTTCATATCATATAGAAAACATAATTATTTTAATATTTTTAAAAATGGAAAATACATTTTCATACTCTTAATGTGAAATTTATGTAAATATTAAAATTTAGATAGAAAATATGTAAATACATAAGAGTGGGTGATATGCAGGTAAATCTTTCTATATAAGTGAAATCTTTTAAATAGAATGATTTCTTTTTGGTGTAAGAGATAGAGTTCAATAGAAATTTCAAAGTTAAAGGTACAAGTGTAGGAGCACTCTTAGGATAGCTTGTTATAAATGGTATCAAAATATAATACCAACTTAAAGATGGAAAATTAATGTCATACATGACGAAGTACTACGTCATAGAGTCACCTCTTGAACCTTTGATGAGACAAAGTGCTACACAGTGGAAGTAGCCTCTTAAAATTGTAAGGTCATGATAGCATCAACTTTGATATTACAAGTATGTAATGGCCTTTTAAAATGTTATGGGAGCATATAACGTTCATACGTAGTTTCCCTTAACCCGAGAAATCCATAAAACCCTCTCACATGTGTTTCTAAAAAAATCATGGTTTGGCGTGATGCACCCGCGCAGCAGTTTTGGGTGCCTGTTGTCATTAACGTCTCCGAGAAAGGCCTATAAAAATGCTCATTTTTTAAATTATGAGACCATATTTTAGTGATATACACTCTTCCATACCTTAAGGATCAATAAAGCCCTTTGCTAGACTTTTTTCGCAAAAAATTGGTATTTATAGGGCCAAATCGGTGCCTAGGCTCCAGACCCTAGAGCCCCGGCTCCAATATGATGTGACTAGGCAGCTAAAACAACCCCACAGGAACAATACCAAAAGCCTAGAAAGTCAATGCCCTGTCAGGGTGCCTGGAATCGGGCCCAAGCGCCTCGGTGCCAACCCTCACAGCCATAAATACCCAAGAGGTTGAAAGCTCACGACCAACCCTGGCGCTTAGGGCCCAACACGTAGGCATCAGCCTGTTTTCAATATCACATTTTTTTTTGAGTGATGATCACAAAATTAGGGCTGACCCACAGCTGAAAAGTGCAAAATCTCTTAGGGCAATGGGAAGATATGCCTTAAGGAGGCAAAAAGTGGGTGGATGGGACCACTTAGGACTTTTGGAGGACAGCACTAGAAAAGGGGGAAGAAGCCCCATTTTTGGCAAAGGAGAGAGAGGAGAAAAGCTGGTTTTCTCCTTGGTAAAGGGGAGGAGAAATAAGACTGAAAAAAAATATGGAGAAGAGCTCTTGGCAAGAAAAAAAGGAAACATTCTTCCTCCTCATCTTGAGCCCTAGCTTCTTCTTCTTCTTCCTTCACCATCTCTTGGCTGGAGTGTATGAGGAAGCTTCTTAGAGGAGCGGCATTGAGGAAGAAGGAGAGCTTCATCTCTCTTAAGGAAGAAGAAGAGTTGTTAGCATCAATTTTTTATGTCAAAAATGAAGGGAGTTCACTTGAATGACTCAGGACGAGTTGATGTCTATTCATACCCACTTGAAGTTCAAGATACCAATCTGGACCTTCTGATACGTGCCATGAGCATAGAATCGGGATTAGTACTAATTTTGCTCAATCCTGGTAAATTCATGATGGGATGGGGTTGGCTTTGTCTTGGACATGTTCAACACCCCTCTTGATGATTAGAGACCTTACCCCCATCAACTCAGCCACGGGCACTACCGGGTGAGAATTAGTTTTCAATGGAGACATTGCATCGTCGGGGATGACCGCTATTTAGAGGGGTTATTCGGTGTTACAGCGCATCTGTTGGCCTTTTTCAATGATTATAGTTCAACTTCTGGAGCTAAGGGAACATGCGTGGAATCTCTGCTGCACACCATAATGACCCCAAAATCGTGCTCAAGATAAAGAACACGGCGTAATTACACTGTTAATGTGGCGTAGCCACACCGGACTGCTGCCCATGGCAGTTTTGGGCGTGGTCACATTAGCTTTCGGAAAAACAAGGGTTAAGCCCTTTGGCCTAACATGACCACGCCAGTGCCAGGGGTGGTTACACCAAAGCAACAGCTTGCCTAACCGAAATATTTGATCATTTCTTCCCTCTTTCTTTGTAGCTTCCCCATTGGCCTTGATGAGTTTGAGAGGTCAAGTAGGAGTGTTGCATATGACATCCACCTCTCAATAAGCCAAGAGATGAATTCCATGTGGAAAAGCAATATTATTTTATGATTTGGAGGGGAAATTCCTTCCATTTTCATTGGTTTCTTGTTGTGCTAAGAGACCAATCCGAAAATAAGCTGAAGGAGAGCTTAATTTGTCCAGAGGATTTTCTTACTAGCGCGGAAGGGGGAGCTAGAAGAAAGTTATTTCTTCTTCCTTTTCCTATTCACCTGCTTGATTTCCTCCATTAAACCTTCCCTTCACTCCACCATATCTAAGAGAGGAAGTGAGGGTGAGTTCTTTTGGGGCATCATCCATTCGTTGGGAAAGGAGCAAGAAGAGTCATATCCCTTCATAAGGAGAGCTTCATCCATTTGCTGGAGAAGGACAAAGTAGTGCCATCTACTTTCATAAGAAGAGCTTCATCCTTTCATTGAAAAATAAGGAGGTTTCGTCATCTCTTCTACAGCAAGGAGAGCTTCATCCTACGAGAGGAAATCCAACATTAGCCACCACAGTGGTGAGATTTCTTCAAACCCTTACATTTCTCTTTTTCTAGAGCCCTTAGGTTGGATGTTAAAGATTTAAGTATTAGGGCGTTTGTGCTGGAGGGAGGCTTTATAGCTTAGGAAGCTTTCGTGGACAAATCCTTAGCAAATTATGAGTGTTTTCCCCTTGCAAACCGTTAGCACTAAAAACCTAGTGATTCTGTCAATTAGTCAGAAGTAGGCCCTCTGTTGCTGAGCAGCAGACTGGCAACTATGATTTCATCGTGCCAAACCTAGTTTCCCATGTGAGCACGTTAGGGCGAGTATGGTTTGTTAATGTGTACAATGATTGTATTGCATTGTATGTCATGCTATGATGTGTGTTTTGTGAGTTGCACTTCGGTTCGATCGGCCACCCGGTACGATCAACATTGTATTTAGGTTCGATCATCAGCCCTGACACGGTCAACTCTGCATTTCGGTTCGATCGGTCGCCCCAACAAGACCCACCCTTGCATTTTGGTTCGACTGATCGCCCCAACACAATCAACTTGCATTTTATTTTAACGAGACGACTCGGCACGGTCTGTCTTGCATTCTCCATGGTGCATGTATTATATGCGGATAAGTATTGTCCATATGATACTTTGCATAATCATTTGTTGTGTTTGGTGAGCATTGTTTGCTTGCACCAACACATCCACATCTGGCACATTCATTGTGCACCTTGTGAACATGTGTCCATACATGTTTATGGCTAGTAGTCATGCCAACTTTAGCGTCTCCGTATATGACATCTTCATGTCATGTGCATATAATTTTCTTTTGTCCACACACCTACGCTTTCATGGTATTTCTACATGATTATTCGTTGCATACTTGAGTTGCAATTGAGTTTTTGTTTACGTAGTTACTTCACTTGTGTGTAATTTCCTTCACTGAAAATCAACACAGTATTCAGATCAGTACCTTCTTGGCACACCTAGTCCTTCGGGTCGCTGTCTCATTGACTTACCCAACTCTTCGGATCACTGCTACCTCAGCATACTGAGTCATTTGGGTCACTACCTCCTCGGCATACCAAACATTTCGGGTCACTGCCTCCTCGGCGTACTCTACCCTTCGGGTCACTGCCTCCTCGGCGTACTCTACCCTTCGGGTCACTGCCTCCTTGGCGTACTCTACCCTTCGGGTCACTGTCACCTTGGCATCCTCTACCGTTCGAGTCACTGCGCA